CCTAAATCCCTTGGAATTTCCTGGGTGATAGGAAGGAGCTTCTTTTGTTCTAATGAGGTGACTCTTGATAGGCTCCTGGATGCAGGATGGGCACTGGTCATCAGAGAGACCAAGCCATGATTAGAAGCTTGGAACTTTCAGCCCCACCCCTCATCTTCCAGTGGGTGGAGAGGGGCTAGAGACTGAGGTAATAATTGATCACACCTTCAGGATGATGCTTCCATAAAAATCCCTACAGTACAGAGTTCAGAGAGGTTCTGGGTTGGTGAACACATCCATGTGCTGGGTGGGTGGCACACCCTAACTCCATGGATACAGAAGTTCCTACGCTTGGGACCCTTCGGATCTTGCCCTATGTACCTCTTCATCTGGCTGTTCATCTGTATCCTCTATCATATCCTTTATTATATGATCGGTAAGTGTGTTTCCCCAAGTTCTGTGAGCTGTTATGGCAACTTATTGAACCTGAGGAGGGAGTTGTGGGAACCCCCAGTTTGTGACCAATCAGACAGAAGTGTGGGTTACCTCGGGACCCAGGACTTGGGACTGGCATCTGAAGTGGGGGCAGTCTTGTGGGACTGAGACCTTAACACAGGAGATTGACACTATCAGGTAGCTAGTATCAGAATTGAATTGTAGGATACCTGGCTGGTGTTGGAGAATTGGTTGATGTAGGAAAACCCCCCAGACATTTGGTGTCAGCAGTTTTGTGAGCAGAATGTAAAGGAAACAGAATTTTTTCTTTTTAGTAGGGCAAGAATATTTCAAGCAGGAGAGATGAAAGGAATAAAAAGCATGAAGGAGTGAGTTTGGGGCCTGTGTGAGGACTAGGAGAATTTCAGAGGCTGGGACCAGTTTCTATGGGGTGAGGAGTCAGAGAAGAGGCTGAAGAAGTAAGTAGGGCTGAATGGAAGACTTTGGAGGCTAAGAAACTTGCATTTTTATCTCAAGCTATTGACTAGTTGTAAGCAAGAGACTGACAGCATCAGATCTATGTTTTGCCTGCTGCACGGAGAAAGGATGGGAGAGGGACCAGTTAAGTCAGGGATTGGCAAACTACAGACGATGGGCCTCTTTTTGTACCCACTGTGAGCTAAGAATGGGTTTTACATTTTTAAATGGCTGAAAAAACAATCAACAGAAGAATAATATTTTGTGACACATGAAAATCCTATGAAATTCAAATCTCTGAAATTCAAAAACAGTTTATTGGTACACAGCCATGTCCATTCACTTATATATTGTTTATGGATGCTTTTGCCTGCAAAGACAGAGCTGAATAGTTGCGACAGAGACTATAGCACATAAGTATCTACATAATATTCTTAATTTTTACCTTTTGGTCCACAGAGCCTAAAATATTTACTATCTGGCCCTTTACAGAAAAAGTTTGCCAATCCCTGAATTAAAGGATTATTTCAGCATTTCAGGCAAGAGGCCTGCACTGGGATAGTGAGAGTGGGGTTGGAGAACACTGGATGAATTTGGGAACTATTCAGGGGGTACACAGACTGACGGATACAGGGAGTGAAAAGAAGAAGGAGTCAAAGATGACTCCCAGATATCTGGATTGAGCTCTGTGTGAATGTGGTCCTAGCCAGGCCAGGAATTTGGAGAGGGAGGGTGGAACTGGGGGCAGGGGAAGTATAGAGGCTGGGAGGGAAGACTGGGAATAGTTTTCAGGCCTATTTTGTATGATAGTCTGATTCCTGGAGTTATCCCACTTGTGTGTGTTACCAGAGATGCTACGAACAAAGACATCACCCCAGACTCTTTAGGGCCTGAGGCTGGTGTGGGGCACCTGCATTTGGCAGGCGTTGGTGCTGTGAAGGTGAGCAGGTGCATGTCTGAGTTTCCAGTTGGGTCAGCCTCAGTTCTGTAAAATCAGAGCCAGGCTCCAAAAAATGAAACTGAGGATCCCAAAAGCCTGGGGGAGGCACCAGGAGAATGTGGGGTTTCCCTAGATGCCAAGTCTCCCCTCATCCATCTCCTAGTTGTGTATGAGGTTGACTTACTGGAGAGAGGGAGGGCCTGCCTCTGCAGGTTTAGCGTAGTAGCCAGGTGAGCGGATCCTTCTGGGACCTTGGGTTCCTGTTGAGGTTTGGGGGCAGGAGCTGAGGTGGCCAAGACCATCTACTCTATTATTCATCCTGTGGTCCTGTTCCTGGGAAGCTGCCCAGGCAGAGCGTTTCTGGCAGGGCTATTCCCTTGATTGCCTGCAGATGGCGCTAAAGTGACACACTGGGAACGGAGGGGGTGGGGGCAGCCAGAGGAGAGAGAATCCTAACTCACACCCTTCTTTAGGCCTGCCCCTGGATGGGAGGAGGTGGCATTCACAAAGCCACCTTATCCTCTCCCTACTTGCTGGTCAGGCATGCAACGGCCGGGCGGAGAAGGACTCCCTCAGGGTGGGAGGGAGTGCAGTGTTTGGGGTGGACTGAAGCCATGTCCAGCCACCCTCTCCCGTCTGGCTCAAGCCATTTCCTCTGTCTTCTGGCAGCTAGATCTGCAGGAATCTTGCTTCAGAGGCTTGCAGGCCACCCTGCATCCCTGGGAAGCCTTCCTGGACCACATCCCTCCCCCACCCAGGCTTGCTCCCCCATACTCCTTTCTTCAAGTCCTGTTTCTTCTCCCTGGGCTGAGGGAGGGGACTCTGGACTCTTTAAAGCCCGGGCTGGAGGAGGAGGGAAAAGTGTGGGTCTGAAACTAAACCTGGTTCCTCGTCTTTCTCTGTGAGCAGCCTAGTCCTGTGGTAACACTGATCATAGAGCCATATGGGGGCCTTCCCTAAAGTCTCCCGTCCTCTCAACTCGCCCACGAGGGGCTCATTCCCCTTTTGGAGATGAGGACGCTGAACTAAAGAGGCAGGCCTAAGGTTGTGTGGTGAGGGCACGGGCAGGCAGGACCTGCATCTGGGACCATGGACAAGATGAACTGCTAGCCCCATTCCTGGTTCAAATACCAACTTTGACCCCCACTCCTGGCCTCCAGGAGAGGTGAGGTCAATCTGATTCCATAGCTCCTGCTCTCCCAACACGCTGGGCGTCCTCAGTCGCTCCACCTCCAAGGACCAATGCCTTCCACACAGGGCAGGACACTGAGCCCTAGAAGGGGCTCAGGGCTAAGCCAGAGCAGTGGCTGGGAGGGGCCCTCTTGTGGTCTTGAGTTGACAATGCAGGAGGCTGTGCTGGTGGGATAGGGGGAGGGGGTTTGTGTCCTAGGGTCATTCTCCATGGTGCTGTGCTCCTGCCAGTCCCTGGCCAGCCTGTCCTGTCCATCTCTTCAGTGGATTGCCCCTGCCCATGGTGTCGGAAGCTTCAGGGTTTGATCCTTTGAGAAGGATTCTGGGAGTCCTGACAGCTATGTGGGGTGAACATCTGCTCCTTCTCTCAGGACCTCATTCTTCTAGGCCAGCATTTCTCAACTTTAGCCTGCATCACAGTCTCCTGAAACAGGCAGCTGGGTGCTACCCCTAGAGTTTCTGACTCAGTAAATCTGGAGTGACCCCGAGAGCTTGTATATCTAACAAGTTCCCAGGTGATACTGGTGCTGCTGTCAGGACCACTGCGCACTGAAGGATTAACTCAGCAGGTCTGGGTTGTCCAAACCTTGCACATTTCAAAGGAAGGTTTGGCCCTTGCCTGGGTTCTGGGAGATAACCCCTAAGCCCTTGGAATATCCTGCCCTATAGGAGTGCCCTTGCTTACCTGGGGGCCTTGAACCACACCAGATGTTCTATGCTAACAATAGAATTTATAGCGGGGGCCTTGGGCCACATGGTATCAGTTTAACCTCTGGAGGTGCCGGAGACTAAGTAACTAAGCTCAGCTATGTGGGTGGTCAGCCATGCCTACATGAGCAACCTCCAGGTAAAACACTGGACACACGTCATTGCTGGGAGAATTAAGTGCTGTCCCCATGAGTCCACTGGGAGAAGACAACTGGAAGCTTGCACCTGGTCTCTCCTGGACCCTGCCCTACGCACCTTTATCCTTTGCTGACTTTAATTGTGTCCTTTCACTGTAATAAACTATAACCATGAGTATAACAGCTTTGATGAATTCTGCATGTCCTTTTCTGAATCGTTGAACCTAAGGGTGATCGTGAGGACCCCCAACGACAACGACACTTTGAGAACTACTGCTCTATGTGGTGGGATTAACCTCTCTAGGATTATTATTATTTTTTTATGTGAGGAAGATCAGCCCTGAGCTAACATCGACGCCAATCCTCCTCTTTTTGCTGAGGAAGACTGGCCCTGAGCTAACATCTGTGCCCATCTTCCTCCACTTTATGTGGGACGTTGCCACAGCATGGCCTGAGAAGCAGTGTGTCAGTGCGCACCTGGGAGCCGCACCTGGGCTGCCAGCAGTGGAGTGCGCGCACTTAACTGCTACGCCACGGGGCCGGCCCCCTCTAGTATTCTTTTGCTTTAAGCTTTGGGGCCCTTTCACCAAGGAAGTGCCTTACAACCTGGCTGGAGGGTCACCTGTGTGGAGTGCTTTGGGCTGGACCCCAGGTGCTCCATCTCCACAGTCCAGGGGTCAGGAGGCTGTGAACTGCCTGGAAGCCTGGATGTTGCTTTGTGGGGTAACCCTGAACAGTACCCCACCTCACTGGGCCTTAGTCTCCCCGTCTGTAAATGGGGCTTTGGAGCAGTTCTGTTCTCCCTGGGGGTGACAGGGCCCCCAGAGCAGCCACACTGGCAAAGCTGACAGAGAATATGCTGGGCTATGGACACAGGCTGTTTATTTCACCTAGCCTCCCTATCTCCAGTAGCCAGTTCTGCTTGTTACAGGCCTAACCACCTGAGCCTTGGACCCCTGGGGTGCTGGGGCCCACAGGTTTCATCAGATCCAGCCACTCAGTGCTGCCCCTCCTGGGACCACCCTCAGGGCAGTGGCCCACATTCTGTGGGCCACCTTGGGCCCCCCCTACCCCATCCTGCCCTGGCCTAAGACCAGGTCCTCAATCCAACACAGGGAGGAAGCTACTTAGCGCCTGCTGGTTATGTGGCTTTATTCACAGACTCAGCACTTGCTGAGGATGGAAGGAAAGAACATTTGGGGCAAGGCTGGGCCTGGAAGTAAGGGAGGCTGGGAGGCCATGCACGGGTTGGATTGGGGAGCTCACAGGAGAGAACCTGTTGGCTGGGCTAGGCCTGTGTGAGTGGGGCTGGAGGCAGGCAGCATGCGGGAGGCCTGGCTAGATCTGCCTGGAGCAGATCTATCCAGGTGGTGACTGTGAGCCAGGGAGGGATGGCCTGAGGGTTTCTCTGGGGCAGGGGGTATAGGTGTGGGGCTGGATAGCAGGCACCCCTGCCCCTCACTCCCAGGGAAATGACATAGTGGGACAGTCAGGACCCCTGGCGCCTGGTCCTGCTGCTGCCTTGGAACTCGATGTGTGGCTAGCCAAGCTGGTCCCCTCTGGTGTCACTGTCCTGTTGATGCTTGGACATTTGCCTTGGGGGTGACCCACATAGGGATGCTCTGTGGTCATTTGTAGGGAGGTTGGACAACCCTGGAGAGTATGCCTAGGGCCCAGCAGAGTCGGCTGTGCCTGTGGAAGGAGGGCATCCCCCTCACGGGATGCTCCCTTTGAGCCAAGCTTCTCTCTCAGTGGTTGGTGTCAGTTCCCTGCTGTGGCCCCAGGGGGTGTCATCTCCCACCGCAATCCAGGCCAGCCCCTGGGCCAAGGATGACTGTAACGTTCGTTAAACTTTCTTTCTCCTGGCCCGCCCTGCTGGCTCTGGATGGACTTCCTGCCTAAACGCAAACAAGGACTCCAAAGCTCGGATCCTCCTCCCAGGCCTTCTTCCAGGTGAAGAGCCCTCTGCTACCCAGCAGGGAACAGAAAAACCAGTTCCCCAGCTTCCCCTCCCTGCCTGGGAATAGTAAAGTTTGGAAAGTTGGCAGGATCTCTCTGGGCTGTTCAGGAACGGGACCTAGGGGCCTGGGAAGCCTGGTGAGGCCTGGGCAGGGCCCTGGGTCTGAGGTCACAGCCCCTGCCTGCTTTCTCCCCGGCTCTCCCGGGGACTGGGATGGAGGGATGCAGGCGAGGGGGCCATCAGCATTGGCGGGAGGGGGTGCGGTGCACAGAGCCAGGGCGCTTGGGGATCTTGCGCCAGCGACGCTTGTCCCAGCGGCAGAGCAGCAGTAGGCGGAAGGTGTCCCGGAAGGCTTTGTTGCAGAGTGCGTAGCACATGGGGTTGATGGTGCTGTTGACGTAGCACAGCCAGTAGCCCAGCTCCCACAGGGTCTCGGGAACACAGTCCTTGCAGAAAGTGGATACCAGCACCATGATGTTGTATGGTGTCCAGGTGAGGATGAAGGCCAGCAGGATGGCGCTCAGGGTCCGCGCCGCCTTCTTCTCCTTGACCAGCGAGAAGGTCTTCCGCTTGGCCAGCTGCTCCTTCCCGCGGGGCTTCTGGCTCTTGCCCGCTCGCTCACGCCCTTTCCTGGTCGGCCTCTTGACTGTATTTGGGGAGCTCCGGGGCGGCTGCTTGGCGGGAGCCTGTGCCTCGGGGTCCACCATGGGCATCTTGATCACCACCTCGGAGCCAGGCTCCTCACCCTCCGAGGATGTGAGGGACTCCATGGAGCCTTCGTCCTCCTCCTCTTCCTCCTTCCAGCTGTAGGCCTGCAGCAGCCTGGGGGCCCGGCAACAGCGACAGCAGCGCCCTGGAGGGGTCTCCGGTGAGCCCTCCGCCCCCGGCTGGGACCGCTCTGAGCTGCTGCTGCTGCCGCCCCCCTTCCCTGGCGTCTCGGAGCCCTGCAGGGCCGCCAGCTCCCGGGCCCGGTTCTCTGTCTCTCGGTAGATGCGCCAGTAGAGTGTGCACATGACCGTGACCGGGAGGTAGAAGGCGGCCATGGCTGTGCCAAAGGTGATGATGGGCTGGGAGAGGAACTGGATGTAGCACTGCCCGGCCAGCACCGTCCGCTCCCCTACCAGGTACTGCCAGAAGAGGATGGCTGGGGCCCAGAGGACGAAGGAAACCAGCCAGGCCAGGCCGATCATCAGGGCTGCCCGGCGGGGTGTGCGCTTGGCGCGGTAGCTCAGGGGCCGGGTCACAGAGAAGTAGCGGTCAAAGCTGATGAGCAGCAGGTTCATGACGGAGGCGTTGCTGGCCACATAGTCCAGGGCCAGCCAGAGGTCGCAGGCTAGTGTGCCCAGAGCCCAGTGGCCCATGAGCAGGTATGTGGTGTAGAGGTTCATGGAGAAGGTGCCAATGATGAGGTCGGCACAGGCCAGGCTCAGCAGGAAGTAGTTGTTGACTGTCTTGAGCTCCGTGTTGACCTTGAAGGAGATGAGTACCAGCAGGTTGCCTGTCACTGTGGCCAGTGACAGGAGACCCGTGGTGATCCCAATGAAGGCCACTTGCCAGGGACCCTTTCCTGGCGCCAGGACAGTGATGTTGGGGCTGACGGCAGGTGGGGCTGAGGTATTCATGGTGGCCAGTGGGGCTGGGGGTAGCCCCTTCCTCTAGTCACACAACAGGGCTTCCTCAGGGGGAGGTCATCTCCTGAAAAGAGAGGACACGGGCTTTGACTGGGCTGCTGGACATCCCTGATAGCCCCGAGCGGAAGAGTGGAAGGCGCTAGGAACACAGCTTCTGCGCTCCCAGGGCTTTTAGGCCAGACAGCATCACCCTCCCTTACCGGTGGCCACACACGGTCATTTATGATGCATGAATGGATTTACCAGCAGCAAGAGTCAGGGAGCTTTGGAATCCAGAGATCTTAATCCTCACTCCAGCTCTAGCATGCGGATTCTGAGCCTCGACGTTCTCAGTAGGAAATTGCTACTGATCCCTGTCTTGCTTAACTCCTGTGGCAGGAGTTGGGAGACTGGCTTCGTATACAGTACTGCCAAATTTTCAAAGCATTTCACTCAATTTTATTAAAGTTCTCGTTTACTGAGTAGTTACTACATGCCAGACACAGTGCTAAGCATTTAATCAAATTATCTAATTTAGCTGTCGTACATCTCTAGGAGGAAGATCTCTTAGGAGCTCCGTTTCACTGAGGCAACTGTGGCTCTGAGCAGCTACAAGGCCCGGCCATGGTGACACAGGCAGTCCGTATGATTAGAACTCACTCCTCTCTCTCGCTCTCTGAGCATGTGGAGCTCCAGGGGGATTCTTCCATCAGATAAGGAGAGATGGGAAGTCAGGGGGCAGACTCCAGAGAAGATAAAGGGAAAGAGAAGGTGAGTGTGTGTCTGTGCATGCATGTGTGTGTGTCTGCACGTTTTTCTGTGCATGTGTGTGTGAGAGAGAGGAGGGTGGTGTTTGGGGCTGGATTGGACCCTCTCGAGGGCAGCAGGGAAAGCTGTGCTGAGCCCAGTCACTTGCCTGGTGGTGGAAGATCTGGAGGAAAAGCAGGCAGCAGGGACGAGGGCCTCAGCTCCCAGATAAGTGGGGGTCTAGCCCCAGATGGGGTGTGGGAGGCTCCCTCCATCTCCCCACTCTGTTCCCGAGCCCCAGCTGACTGGGGGCAGCAAGGGGAATGAGGAGATCCCCCAGACTTTTCTTGAAGCTGGAGCCCAGCCTAGGCACTAAGAGTGGGTAAAGAGAAAAGCAAGGACTCTTAGCAACCTACTGGCCGGGCAGGAGGTCCCCACAGCTCCGCCGTGGCCTTGCTGCGGTATGTTTAGGCCAGTCCCTTCCTGTTCTGGGCCTCAGGCATCCATCTGTCCATTGAAGAGATTGGAGTCTCCTTCTACCTGTAGCTGTGGCTTCAGGCAGCTGTATCATTAGAAAAATTCTAAGGGAGAGACATTGGGCAAGGGCCCACTCAGCTCTGGTGTTCCTTGGGACCTGGTCTGTGACAGAGAGACTAGAGCGCTGTGTCTGTGAGGTGTTGCTGCATGATGGATGGCCAGTGTGGCTGTGATAGTGTGTGACCCGGGGTGTGTGTGGCTGAGGGCATCTCCACTGCTCTTGGTGAACTGTCGGCACGTGAGAGCAACTCTCAGTCTGGGGAGTTCAGAATGTGACATGAGTAAGAAAGACTGGCCAACAGTGCATGCTTGTGTGTCTGGGACAGTTTGCACATGAGGAGCCACATGTAATATCCCGGATGAAGGACCCGGACTCTGGAGCCAGATTATCTGCATTTGAATCCAGGCTACACCGTTCACTGGGTATGTGATCTCTGCTAGCGATATAACTGCTATGTGCCTCAGTTTCCTCAACTGAAAAATGAGGCTAATGCTAGTCCCTAGCTCATAAATCAAGGAATTATTGTGAGGCTCAAACAAGTCAATAGAGGTAGAGTGCTTAGACCAGCCCTGGCACATGGTGAGCACGGGGTCCCCATTGACTCTTAGCGTTATGTAGCAATGAGGGCTCCCTCCTGCCTAGGAGTGTCCTCTTCTTTGATTAAAAATTTCTAGGGCTGGCCCGGTGGTGCAGCAGTTAAGTGCGTGCACTCCGCTTCAGCGGCCCGGGGTTCACAGGTTTGGATCCCGGGTACGCACCGATGCACTGCTTGTCAAGCCATGCTGCGGCGGCATCCCATGTAAAGTAGAGGAAGATGGGCACGGGGTTCACAGGTTTGGATCCCGGGTACGCACCGATGCACTGCTTGTCAAGCCATGCTGCGGCGGCATCCCATGTAAAGTAGAGGAAGATGGGCACGGATGTTAGCCCAGGGCCAATCTTCCTCGGCAAAAAGAGGAGGATTGGCATTGGATGTTAGCTCAGGGCTGATCATCCTCACAAAAAAAAAAAATTTCTAATACCATGACAATAGCAACTAATAATAATAATGACTGTTGCTATTATTTAGTGCTCCCTGAGTGCCAGTCACTACTGAAAGTGCTTACATGCCTTATCTCACTTAATCTTTTTTTTTTTTTTTTTTGCTGAGGAAGATTGTCCCTGAGCTAACATCTGTGCCCAACTTCCTCTGTTTTGCACGTGGGACACTGCCACAGCATAGCTTGATGAGCGGTGTGTCGGTCTGTGCCGGGGATTCGAACCTGTGAACCCTGGGCCGCTGGAGCCGAGTGCGCAAACTCAACCACTATGCCACCGGGCCAGCCACCTCATCTCACTTAATCTTAACAGCGAACCTATGACCTAGGGATTATTCTTCTCTCCACTTTACAGATGAAGAAACTGAGGCTAAGAAAAGCAAGAGAATTTGCCCAAGATCACACAGGTAAGGTAGGAACCAGGATGTGAGCCCAAGCTGTTTCTTCCAATGAAACTTTATTTATAAGAACTGATGGTTGGCTGGGGGTCCATAGTTTGCCAATTTGAATTTTAAAAATATTACATTAACATATTATTTATCTTGCTCGCTGAGTTTTGTTGCATCCTCCTCTCTTAACCAAAGTCAGGCACTGGGCAGGAGGCTGGGCTTTCTCTGGGGAGGCTGCTGGTGGACACCACCCTTGACAAGTTGCCCTGTACAGCTCTTGCCCCTCTGATCTGACTCAGTGCCGTTCAATGCCCATTGCAAAGATAGAGCAACTGAGGCCCAGAGAAAAGAGGAAGATGGCATGGTGCAGCCCAAGGTCTCCTGGCTCCTGGACTGGATGCTGGCCCCCCAACCCCTGGGTGCCTCGGAGCAGCTCTGTAGCCCCCAGTAGCTCCCTGGGCCCTGGGCCAAGACCTGAATAGGATGAGTCAGACAAGAGAAGCTGGCTGGCCTAAGAGGCTGCACACTCTGCAGCTGCAGGGGCCTCCTGTCTGCCTGGGCACTGTGCAGCCTTCAACGCTGGACCCAGCCCCCCACCATGTACCTGGTCCTTACACCACAGCAGGCCTTGGACTAGGATGGGGCCAGAGAGGCACTTGCTTCGGGTGCAAAATTTAAGATGCCCCAAAACTTAGTCATCAAGAAAATAATATTTTAATGCAACATTAAAAAAGGAAATTAATGCTGAAAATTCACCATGAACAAAATTTTAAACAAAGACAGTCTCCAACCCTGCACTTGTACAAACAACTCTATTACCCATGCCTCACCCTCATCCTGGTCCTGGTTCCAAGGAAACTTTATTTACAAAAACAGACGGCCCACCTGTGGACTCTACTTGGCTATGTGATTTTTAAAAACATTACATTACAATATTATTTATCTTGATTAGTGAAGTTTTTTTTGTGCCCTTCCTAAATTTTGCTCTGAGGCGAATAACTCACTTGCCTTACCCTAATTCTGGCGCTGTGGACCACAGCCCTGGGTCTGAATCTCAAAGCTGTCCCTTCCTAGCTGTGTGATTGTCAGCAATCGCCTAACCTGTCCTTCCCAGGCCGCCCTGCATCCCCCAGCTGACGGGGATAGCATCCAAAGTGCATGGAATGAAATGACACTTAGGTAAAGGCCTCTGTTACTATTCCCCATTGCTCATTCTGATCCACCATCCAGCCACCTGCCCCTTCCCCTCCAGACCCCAGGCACAGCCTCTCTCTGGTCCCCAGATTGCTCATTTGTACAGGGGAGGAGTTGGACCAAGCTGGCATCTGGGGAGATTTTACAGGGTCCTGAAACCAACATCTCAAGACTCTGAACAGAAAGGACTCAAGTCCTTGAGGTGACACCACAGAGGCTGAAGGCTCACCCAGGTTCTCTCAGCCGGGGCTGGAATGACATCTGCTCTGGGTGGGAACGTGCTCTGTTGGAAGCAAGGTAGAGCTTTGACGAATTTAAAAAAGGCTTTCAGAATGGGGAGCCTATGAGACGTGGTCCTCTGAAGTGAGGAGGCTGGCAGTCCCTCTCCTTTATGGCTGGAAGTCCCTCCCAGCTCTCTCACTTTAATAGCCATATTGATAACCCTCATAATTAATCACCTATGGTATGCCAGGCACTTGATGTATGATATTATTTCCCTTAATCCACAGGACACCCCAATGGGGTTTTATCTCTGTTTTATAAGTGAAGACACCGAGGCTTGAGGGCTAAGTGATTCGCTGATGGTCTTGTGGGAAGTTGTGGAGCTGGGCCGCTGCCCCTGATCTGTGGACTCCAAGGCCTGTGTTCTTTCCACTTGGCCAACCCCTCTATGCCCCACCTATGAGCTGTGAGGGCTAAGGCCTCCCATCTGAGACAAGTGGAGGAAGGAGAAGGGTAGAGGTTCTGAGGAACTGGACCCTCATTCTTCTTTTTTTTTTCTAGTTCCAAAAGCCTCTTGAGGGAGGACAGCCCTTTTATTAAAATTACAGGCAGCACAGTCTCTTCCAGTGGAGTCTGGAGACCTGGTGGACCCTCATTCTTGCCATCCCCTGGAGCTTCTGAGCTTCTGGGATGCAGCCCAAGAACAGAGCTGTCAGTGACCCTGCCTTTCCTCCACAATCAGAAGTGGGGGTCCTCCTCAGGCTTCTCAGACAGCGATTTGCTCAGGAGAAGGTTCCTGGAGGCCTGCTCTGGGCCCTGCTGTGTGACTTTGGGCAAGTCTCCTTAACTCTTGGTTGGGGGCAATCCTCTGCTTGTTCAAGTCTACTGGGGGCTCAGCAAGATGATGGTTGTGGAACCTGGTTTCCTGTGATGGTGGCTTGTCCCCTGTGGGGACGAGCCCTGGGCTGTGAGTCAGGGTACAAGGGCTCAGCAGTGGCTCCTGAATTTCTACAAAGGAGGGGCTTTGGGTCAGCCATCTGGTTGAAAGCTGTATTTGCCAGCATATTCTTTGAAAACATCCATGGGGTGGGGGAGTTGGTCAATGGGGATTGCAGGGGGTGGGGGGAAGACTCCCCAGGGAAGTCCTTGACACTGTCTCTGCCTGGCTTCAAGCCCCGTCTCTCCTCTTGTCTCACTGTGTGACCTTGAGCAAGTCACTGTCCTGACCTGGTAACCCTTCTGTAGGATGAGTGTTTGTGGGTGAGGGTATGTACATTGCTGAGTGAGAATACGAAACAGTGGGGGTGAGTCTATAACTTTGTGGGGATGGGTTGGGACTCATCCTCTGAGGGTGTCATGTCTGGGGAAGCAGAGAGAAGCTTTTCTGCCCAGGACTGTGGCTCCCTGATGAAGGTTGTTGGGAGTTTTTTATAATATTATTAATACTATCATAGCAACTGACATTCACTGACTGCTTACTATATGCCAGACATGGCTCTAGGCATTATATGCATGATTTAATTGACCTATTACAGCTCCTTGTGAAGTAGGTTCTATTATCCTCATTTGAGACCTTAGGACCTTACAGCTCATCAGCGATCCAACCAGGCTCTGGACCCAGCCGGTCTGCCTCTGAGACTAACCTCTCTAAACTGTTCTTGTGGGGATGGGGGCTCGACAGCCCCCTTGCCCACCTCGACTAGCTTGGCCAAACCCTAGTTTGAATCAGGCAATAGTGAGGAATCAGTCGTTCCTTTAGAATCTGGCCTGTGTGTGTGACAGTGTCTGCCATCTATCTGTGTGACATGTGATGACAGTCCTGTGGGAAGGGGAGGTCTAGCCACAACTCCTGAGAGTCAGGGTAGGGGCTATGTCTGCCTCATTCACTGCCTCATTCCAGTGCTGGGCACACAGTAGCTGCTCAATAAATGTTTGTGGACTAAACAAATGAATGTGTCTACAGGGTCCTCGTGCTTGACCTCAGGCCCAGGGGGCAGGAGGATGAGCCCATGGGGGTTGGGACCGGCTCCAGAGCATGGTCCTTTGGCTCCCTCCAGTTCTTGCATCCTCTCACCTACCAGGTCCCTGTCCCCTGGGTGAGGACCTGCCTGGCTGAGGGCACAGGAGAAAAATAGCCAAGAGCATCTTCATCTGGAAAATGGACCAAGGAAACCCTGCTTCACCTGCTACAGAGAAAGGGAGTGAGGTGACAGGACAGGCATGGGCATGGGATAGCACCTGTCAGTGTTGGGGGAGGAAAAAGCCAGCCTGGGCTTAAAGAGTTAAGGGATGAGGTCAGAGCCTGTAGCACGGCAGGCCAGACTGTTGACCGCCAGTGCCCTGGACCAATCCCCAGGGGCTGGGGATCTGGCTGGTAAAGGAAGTGGGAGGGGAGAGAGCCACAGGGGGAGGCTGGGAGAGATTGCTGGGGAAAGGGATTCCTGAACACTAGGGCTGCCTGAATCTTACCACTGGCCAAGGAGTGGAGAAGGGGAGGCAGAGAATGAGGGGGTGCTGGGGAAGAGGTTCACAGGGGAGGAGTGAAGCCATCGTGTGATTCTGGGCCTCCTTGTCTGGACAGAACAGGCAATACTGGGGAGAAAGAGGTAGGAGGTGGGGGCTGTGGGCCTGGGCACCTGGGACCTCACATGTGCAGTGAGAAGGGTGCTCCTCTGGCCAGGTATCCTGACCAGTCCCTTCTGCTGGGGTCTTAACCCAGAAGCCAGCCTGTCAGAGGCGGCTCTCTCCACCTGGGTTAACTTTTCTCTGAAGGCAGCTCTTGATCCATTAAAGGTTCACAAAACTTCCACCTCTGATGCCTGGCCTTGGGAACGAGGGGATAAACAAATACAATTTATCACCTTTTCAGGCTCAATAGTCACCACTGGGAGTGCCAGGTAGCCCTGGGGAGGGCAGCAGCCATCAGTTAAATGCTCATAAATGCACTGCTGAGCCGGAAGAGGAGCGGCAAATATGTTCACTGTTGATGGACCTTAACCAGTTGCCTGACTTTAGCGGACTGTGCCAGAGCCTGGCCGTTAGCAGGCTGGGCCCGAGACCTCACGCTGCCAGGTGGCATCAGAAGTGCTTGCCCCTCATCCTCCCCATGCCCCCTGCTCTTCACTCCTTGCTCTCCTCTCCCCATTTCCTTTCTTCTCTCTCTCTCCTCCCCCATCCTTCTAGGCATCACCATGGCATCACAGCAGAGCAGAAACCCAGCGCGATATTCACCCACCTCTCCCCGCTGCCTCATGGAGCTCGCTGCTCCCCACCCCGTCATCCTGCTCAGGGAGTGGGAGTGCAGCGCTGCGCTGAGGGCGAGGAGAATGGGGTCCAAACCCCAACTGGACCCCTAAATACCCCTTCTGTGACCATGAGCATGTCCCTTCCCCTGTCCCGGCCTCAGTCTCTCCACCTGTACCATGGGGATGTTCCTTGCAAGGTCTGATGTGACCTCTGCCTAACCCCTTCTCGACACTCTGGATTCCTCTTTGCACTTCGAGATCCAGCTCTCACACCTCCAGGACCCAGCTGGGGAGCCAAGAGTCACATGTTTTGCAGCCCCATCTCGCCATCTCCTCCCCTGCCTTCTATATCACAGCAGCGATCACGGCTTGCCTACTGGCTGAGGTCAGGGGGCAGAGAACTAACTCTCATCTGACAGCTCAGTGAGCAGCTGAGTACTTGGGGACAGGAGATTGTCCGGCTGCAGGAGACAGTCTGACTTATTCTGGCCAGGTGGGCAGGGGGCCTGGGCCTGTCTGGGAGGAGCTTCAGGTATGTTTTGTGGGAAGAGGTGAACCTCTCTCCACTGGCATGATAACCCCTGAGCAGCACTTGTTTGAATGACCCCATGATCACCCCTTCCCAGATGCCAGCCCAAGAGCTGGCAACTCCGCAAGAATCAGAGCTCCTGGCCCCCCTTCCCATCCCCACATTGTGGGGTCTGGGGGTACCGGGATGGGTACCTGGCATGGGTGCCCATTGGTATCCATACATTACCTGGACATAGGATTGAGATCTGCCCTGTGGGAGCCCAAGATACTATGGACATAGGGAGGGCCCTTTGGGCACCTGCACATGTGAGGGCCACATTCCCTGGCTGGCGTGGCCATCCATGTGCCCATTTGTCCCCAGAGAGCCCTGGGGCTCTTGGCCTGGTCTCCTGCTGGCTTCTGGCCCAACACCCACCTTGGTGTCCAGCATGTCCCTCTGGCCAGCAGCCTGGTTCAGTCCATCTTGGGGGTGCTGAAGGTAGATGGGAGTGGTGGGATTCAGGATTCCCTGAGGGAGGAAAGGACGAGGTTCTGGGACTGGCACCCCAACTAGGGGGGTCACCCTCCCACGGTATGCTGGTGGCAAGGGCTGCCCCCTGGCCCTCTGCCCGTCCCACTGTGTCTCTGGGGTTCTGGGGGCTCTGCCTGCTATGTGGCAGCCTGATCCCTCCTGGGTTCCAGGTCCAGTTTCCTAGGGGGTCTCCATCTCTTCTACCAGCTGAACCCCAGGAAAACATCAGGTGTATCCACTCAAAGCCAGGAGATGCGGTGTTTGGAGCAGCCAATGTCTAATGCTACAGAGCCCCCTTGGCCTCTAGACCTCTCCCTGGCCCCCTCCTCTCTCTGGAGGTCCATCCCCATTTCCTTCTAGTCCTGGTCTCTGCCTTGCTCCCAGGACCCTGCTTCTCCTGCCCCCTCCTCGGCGGAGCCCCTCCCAAACCCTCTCAAATGTACTCACCACGGGGCTGGAGAGAAGTCTGTAGCGTCCTCAGCCCCACTGCATCCCCGGGGGCCGGCAGCGTCTCCAGGGACCCAAACACCTGGCTCCTGGGGGGAGCTGCGCCCTGTGCTGGCAGCCGGAGAGGCACAGCCAGTGATTGGCATGTCCCACCCCCTGGCACGCCAGCCTGGGTGGGGGGGGGAGGGAGGAAGGGAATGAGAGGGAGGGAGGAGAGGGAGGAAAGGAAGGGAGGGGGAGCTGGAGGGAAGCCTCAGGCAGCGTCTGGGGTGGGCCTGGGTCCTGGAGCATGCCCCCCTCCTCCACCAGGGCACCCAATTTGAGCCCCGAGACGGGGGGCGTAGAACATGAGGAAGATGAGCCCAGGGAGGCTGAAAGTCCAGAACGGGAGAGAAGGCGGATACAAGGAGACAAACACCCACACCCACTGCACACAGACTCGGCGGCACACACACATACACCCTCACAAAGGCACACTCTGTTTCTCCGGGCTCCTTCCGCCACCCAGCCTTAGAGCCCCCAACCCGTGTGCACCATGCCCCAACACACACGCCCTGGGATTCACATGCCTGTTTCCCTCACACACACGCCCTGCCCCCTGCACATGCCCACGCACCCACCCACCCACCCAGCTCCACACCCTGCTCTTCCTCCCTGCTGCAAAGGAGCTAGATTCCTTCTGTTTGGAAATGACACATTGGGCCTCACGTGAGAGGCTCCAACTTGGAACAGACCCAGAGGGCTGGCGCACCCGCCCCGGTGCTGAGCGGACGTGCCCGCCTGCTGGGCTGTGTGCTCTTGCCTCTGTCCGTGCTGCATAGCCCAAGTGTGATGGTATATGGGTGTCTGGTTTGTGGGGATGAGTGGGGGGGGGCCTTTTGCCTTCTCCATGCGCTGCTGAGTGCCCCCGCACATGTGTGTCTCTGAGTACGCATGTCACCACGCAGCCTGTGTAGACGCAGGTGTCACCCTGTTGGTTTGGAGCCAGGACGCCTGTGTACACGTGTGTCTGTATTCGGTGTGTCTGCGTGTTGCCCAACTGTGGAACTTGCTAATTCTGACAAGTGAGGCAGCCTCTACCTCCCTGCCTGCTCCACCCCCAGCTTCCCCTTGGAAGACAGACAGACAGGCAGACAGACAGCTCTCCTCCCAGCTTGTCAAACTCTGTCTCCCCGACTCCCACTCAGGGTGCACAGGTGTGTACTTGGGAAGTGATGAACTTGCCCTTCCTCCCCACCTCCCTTAGCCCCCCTGTATGGCTAGCAGCCCTCCCCCCCAGGCTGGTTTGGATTTCTGTGTTGAGTTTTCTCAGAGATAGAACCTCTGGGGGCCCTTTGCCATAGAGACCTGGTTCCTGCACAGCCCTCACTTGGCCCTAGAGACCTCCCGGGGAGCTGACCATGGAGGAGAGATGAGGAGGCTACTGCTGGGGCTTCTGTGTCCTTTGCCCCTCTGGGCCATTCTGAAGCCCCCAGGTGGAAGGGACAGTGGAAGGGAGGACCAGGATCATCTATCATCCCATTATGTAGATGAGAAAACCCAAGGGCAGAGGAGTGATTAATACGTGGTGGGCATGTGTTTGGACTCAGGTCCTTTGGCTCTAAGCCCAGGATTCTAGAGTCTCATCAGGGGGTTGGGACCTGCCCCACCACTTTCCTCCTGCCCATTTCCCCACCAAGCACAAGCAACCTCTCTCAATCCTGATGCCTGAGGGCAACCTGGGACTTCCTCACACTGGAGCCCAGTTGCCAGTGAAACACAAACTGGAGTCCCTGGGGCTTGGCCAGCAGCCACCAGGTGCCAGTGGTGGGCGCACGTGGTGGGTACATCAGCTTCTCAAAGCCGGGTGAGGCTAGAGCGAGCACCCAGACCACCTCCCCTCTGAAGTCGAAGAGACACTGCACCTTGGAGAGGAATCTGAACAACCCCCTTCCACCCCAGGGTCAGCCAGGGGGTCAGGGGTGGGTCAGAACTCGACCAGTCCCTGCCCATGGGCGCAGAGTCGGGCTGCCCCCTGCTGGGCTGTCCTCGATTTGCGGCTGTGCGCGCGGTGGGGCTGCGTGTACTCGTGCGCGTACACGTGGCTGAGTGCGGGGGTGTTAGGCCTCCACGCTCAACATCCATTTCCGAGTCTGAATCAGGCTCTCTCTTTGCTCCATCCCCCCAATCTCCTTGGTCTCTTCTCCCACCGCCTCTGCACACGTCCCTTTAGAAATAAAAACACTTATTTTGTAGGCGGGAGAGAAGGGTGTCCAGCCCTGTCTCTTCTTGAGTGTCCGCCTCTGTCCCAAACGGTTTCCTCCTGAAGTCGGTTCAGCCGCGGAGGCAGGGGGATGACGCCCCCCGATTGTACGACTCTTCTCTGCCCAGACATGGCTAGGTCCCCTGACCAGATGGGGAAACTGAGGCAAGAAGGGAGAAAAGGGAAGTAGGGCCGGGAGAAGCTCTCCCACCCGGCTCTCTCACCGCCCCCGCACCCGCGCCCGATTTAGCCGCAGGGAGGCTGGGAACATTGTCTTTATTTTAAGCCGCCGAGTGCGGCACGAACGCGGCTGCTCGCGACAAAGGGCTTGGCGAGGCAGCGGCAGGCGGCGCACGTGGGGGTCCGGCCCCGCCCCCGCGCGACCCCCGGCCGCAGTGGAGTGGCCGGGCCTGACCTCAGCCAGTTCTCTCCTCTCTCTGGCCAGGTGGTACCCCGGCCGGCGCAAGACAACTGGGGCTTGGCTCCTGCCGGTTGCTATTTTTGGTCGCTTGGCTGAGGATTCACGTCTCCAGGCCACCGAGGGAACGCGGGGTCGCCCCCGTGTGGCTGGGCACCTTTCAGCCTCCTCGCGGTGGAGGAGGAGAGAAGCTGCCCTGGGTGCGAATCCAGCTGTGCCTCTGCCCAGGTGAACCGTCCTGGGCAAATTTGTGCCCCTCTTTAGGTCCCAGTTTCTTCATCCATGTCCTGGGAGTTAGAAATTCCTCCTGACAGCTCTGTTTGACGATTAGTTGCAGGTTAAACGTGGCGCTGGCGTTTGCTACAAGTGGAAGCCATCATTGTTATTTCTAACCGTAGAGAGCACTCACTACGTGTGCCAGGCGCTGCTAAACGCTCCACGTTCATTAACTGGTTAGTTTCTCACAACAACTCTCTGAGGGAGGGTCTATTATTATTCCCATTTTACAGATGAGTAGATTTACAAGCGGCGCGCATCACCGGGGCTTGTGGGAGGGTGCAGTCAGCGTGGCTGAGGCCATCCTCGGGCAGGGGACGGGGTGGGAGTGTGTGGACTGCAGTTCCGGGGACAGCAGAGATCTGTGGGACAGCGCTTTTAAAAGGCCGGGGATCCAGGCTGAAGGCAGCAAGGTGGGGGAAGGAAGTGAGTGTGCTCCGGGAGTGCGCTCCATTTGTGCGCTCTAAGCCCCTCAGTTTAAACCTCCACCGTCGGCTGGAACCCATGTCAGAAGCTCAAACCCAAATAATCTTGCCACTTGTCAGCGCTGCTCCCTCAGTCCTGGGAGAAGGAGTCCGGAGTGGGCGATCCCCCTCGCCCCCACCAGACCTTTGCAGCCGGGCTCGTCCTCAGTGTTCTCGGGGAGGGGCGTGGGTCTGTTGTCTTGCCCTCCGTGGGAGGTGACCTCCATTTGGATCCCGAGAGGGAGGCAGCTGATCGTCTTGAGGGCACCCCTCTTTGGCCCCCCCTCCCCATTGCTTTAGGCCCTCAGCCTCGTTACTCCCCTCCCCCCACTTCCCCGACAGCGGGGACTCCGGGACTGATACTCAGATTTAAAAGAAGAAACTAAAATCCAGGGCGGGGCTACGGATAGAGCAGACCTACTAAGAAGCGCCGGAGTCCCTGCAGTCCTAGGCCTGGGGTGAAAGTGGCGACAACGAAAGCATCATTTTGGGACGGCAAATCGGAGTTTTCCGAGTCTGGTTCCGAAGTTAAGGCCGCGTAGAAACAATCTCCCTCTGCGTACTGGACGCTTCACCTCCCTGGCCCGGCTCTGTGCTGGGAGCCTCCGGGAAAGGCCCGGAAGCAGCCTCGCTCTACCTGCCGCAAAGCCTCGAGGTCAGCTTCCCAAGAAAGGATGGGTTGTGGCCGCCGGGAGCGTGGCGCTTCGCGCGGCCTGGACCTGCGCGGAGCGCTCCTTGGTCCTTATAGCGGGTCGGGCGACGGAGCTGAGTTAACAGGGTGCCCGGGGTCAGACGGGGGTGGTGAATGCTGGCAACAGAGGCAACGCATTCTGGAGAAGTCTCTGATTCTCGGTGGCACCGGGCCGCGGGGAGGAGCTGCGTTCCCATAGGGCGTCCCTAAGCGTTCTCTGTTCCGCCTCTGAGGACAGGACCTCGGAGTCCAGGTCACTTGCTGCCGCCTAGGAGTTGGACGCACTGTGGACGTGCGGCCCAGAAGCAGGAAAGGGGCGCGTCTCTCTGCGCTGTGGAGGCCGATGCTTCGCGCTCAAATCTCTATGGCCAAAAACAGCCAGAAAAATCCGATTAATGGCGTCGACTCTGTTTCCCTTGGTCAGTGGACAATGGGCCCCCAAGTTTTCCGCCATATGGTACACACACCTTGGCCCGGGAATAGGCTCGACGTGAGACTGCTGGAGAGATGTCGGATGGAGCTTTGTGCGAGAATTTCGGGCCAGAGCCGGGAGCCGAGGTCCGCATCTCCAAGACTTCTCCCTAGCTCTCCATAGATGAGTCCGCGTGCCCAGGGAGTGACCCGGATGAAGCAGGACCGATTTCGGGGTCCCCTGTCCTCGGCAAGGCTAAGTTTGCTTCTTTTCCTGGTAGCACTCCCACCCCGACTCCCGTGGGCGTGTACGCCTTGTCCTCGAGTCCCCACCGAAGCGGAGACTGAAGCTCGAAGCCCACGATGGCGAGGAGTGACACCCAGCAGGGTGAGTGGAGCCTAAGTCGGCTCGGCTCGCTCTCCCACCCACCCCTGGGCAAGTCTGTCGGTGGGCAGGGGGCTGCCCCTTACCCTGCCGGCCTGCAGCGTCGCGAACCTCTGAGCCTCGGCTCCGGGTGGTCCTCTGCCTCGGTGCCCGCTGCCCGGGCCGCCCTCCGCACCTCCCGCCGCGCCCTCTAGCGGCCCGCTCCGCTCTGTGCCCGGGAGGGCGGGGCCCGAGGCTGAGGTGCCCGGGGCTGGGCTGTGTCTGGTACCAAGCAGCCGTTATCCTTCGCGGAATAATGGTACGTA